CTATGCAAAAATGCATTGAACAAGTAGCACCAGCGTAGATGAACGAAATTCACTTTCTAGGCACTTTTTCCTTTGTCCCAATACAGCTTATGACCTCGAGCGAAGTTTCTTTCGTGGAGTTTCAGATGCCGTGGACGTGGATGCATCGGCAATGCTGCCTGAAGGGTTTGACTGACCCGCGGCTGCATCACGTTCTTGTTTCTCAAATGCCTTTTGCAAATAAATCGCTGGTAGCATGTCATGTGAAACCTAGGGTCATCAGGTACATTGTCAAAGTCGGTATCAATGCAATTTTTCTAAGTTTCTGCAAGGTCCTTTGTCTCACCCTGTAGAGAAAGCCACTTTCTAATACTAGTTCTGTAAGTTTCCCAACGTGTCCTTGTAAAGTCGAGAATGTCTTCACTCTGGACAGATGATAGATGCATATAACATCGTTTCGTTCCTTTTTTATGCACTTTTGAAGGCTGTTTTCTTTTTTCCTGTTCTTTTCTTACTCTTCGCTTGTCTCACTGCGCTCGTCACCATGTTTGTGTATTTCTGATACTATGGCAACGAGACTCGACTCCTATTGGTCCATGTGACAAAAATCGCTTCACCCCTCTGCATATTCGATTGCCCGTGTGCAAGTATCACTACGCCGCAGAAAGGAAATAGTTCGACACCAAAACACTGATTACTAAAAATAGACAGGATGGCATGAGTAGATATTTTTTTTTAGTACTTACTATCAATAGAGCTTTTTTATGAATCACAGTTTATGTTGCCCCACTGAAGTGGAACGAACCAACACGATCTCACTCAGCCAATACAGCCTATAATAAGAAAAAAATGATTCATATTGAGTGCTAACTGATCACATTCACACACTGCTTGCAAATACAACAGGGCGGCATTGGGGTTAAGTGTCTCACCTGAGGACACTTTGACATTTTGACAGCAGGACCCAGGATTAGCCCTCAACCATTCAAGAAATGACTACCTCTCCCACTGAGCGATAGCTGTGTCTTAGTGAGACCATGCTGTCTGCTTTGTCTGTAGTGTCTTATAGTGGGTTTTGAAGCTCTGCCATGCAAATACAGGATGAAAATAGTATAACTTGATATGAATTATCTGTCAGGACAGTCAGTGCTCCAGCTTTTGGGAGGGAATGAAAATCTACTTTGATATCAGCTTCATCAGGTATTGGTGCCTTGGCACATCTCAAGTCACCTCTTAACTTGTGTAATATGTCTCACACAGCAGTTCCTGTGTTGAGGCCAAGATGCTGAACTCCAAGCTTCAAAAAGGCACTTGACAGAGCAAAGGGTGATGCAACATGGGCAATGTCCATTATTTATACAGTCTATGCATATTACATACCTGTCTGGGAGCAAGGGGGTAACTTAAGGATCAGTTCACTACAAGGTTTACTTGTGTTTAACACATGCTGTAATCTACTTTTATTTTGTCATTCTTCAGTTAACAGCTTGCTTTTTGTTGGGGGGATTCATTCATCTCATTCCACGTCTGCCTTAAGATAATGTGCAGATGCTCTAGTGAGAGACGAAACTTTTCTTTGGATTCTAATTTTTTAGAAATAATAGACTCCAAAAAATATCCTGTAACAGGATGAAGGTTCGTCTTCAGCTTGGCTATTAGCATTTTGACCAAAAGTGAAAAGTAAACTTGCAAAGCAATTTCAACTACTAGTTTCACTAATTTCAATACATCTGCTGTAAAGTTAACTTCCCTTTTTATACCAAGGTGTACAGTTTATAAAGTAGGCTGTCTTGCAAAAGTTATTCCCATCTTTCAAAAAGCAAAACTCTAACAAGAAAAGCTGTTGTGAACTCTGGGCATGACAGTTTTTATAACATTAAAATACATCTAAAAAAAGTGGGATGGCCTCTCTCCAGGGTCTTCACTTGAATGTCAGTATTTATTTACAAGAGTGGTTAGTGCTATGTATCTGGATAACTAATGTGCCCCTCATAACTAAGGCCAGAAACTACTCACAACCAGAGAGCCAGGGGGATAAAAAATGGAGAGTCACAGTGATCATCCAGAACAGGTGGACTCAAAAGAAGACTAAAATTTTGCATGCCCAAAAAGACTGAACAGTGAGAGAAAATCTTACTATGGTCACCAGAACAGTGGTGTCCAAGAGATGACAAGACAGAGTGTGAACATGTTGAAGGTTTACCCACTACCAGATCCAGTGGCGGTTCTAGACCAAATTACTCCCCGGGCGAGCACCTCTCCAAGTACACACACACACACACACACACACACAAACACAAAAAGAGATAGAATTTTGAACAGATAGTTTTGTATTACTATGTAGTATTATTATTATTATAACAACAAAAATAATATATTTCTCAATTGCAGAAATCCTTCAATAGAAAAAAACACAATCCTGAGGGCCATTTTGAGAAGGGCCCCCAGATCCTGAGGTTTTCTGAAGTGTTAAGGTTTACAAAAAAGCTGCTATCTCGGCCTCTGTAGTAGATAGAAACAAAATTCAAAAAGTATTTGAGAGCTTAAACACGTGGCTTTCAAGAAAGCTCTCCTTTAGTTTTGCGAACCTTCATCACATTTTGAAAACCTTGAACAAACAAACTCAAATGAAATAAAGCGGCTGTATAAATAAAAGTAGAGGCTCTGCACTGGAGAATGACAAATAATTTGCTTTCTGTAAAACAAGTGGCAGTCATGACAAAGTGTCCATTCAATACAAATGTAAATATAGAAAATAAGGTGTTGAAAGGGTATACAGCTGCCCCAGTATAGTGCCAGTACAAAAGCAGAACTAAAAACTAAAAAATGAATAAATAAATACGTGGCTGACAGTGTGTTCATCTCTGTTCTCACCCAAAGTCATGCAACACTCAGAGAAAACGCTGATAGTGTGAGCCACAGCACTCCATATGAAGAGGTTGTTCACACTGCTGGATGTTTCTCCTCTGAAGCTGCTCTTTGCCTCCGTTTTTGTTTACTTCACTCATGAAGCTCATCAAGCACGTAGCAAGATCCGAGCATGAACCCGAGCGCTTTATTCGCCTATCAAAGGCAGACGGGTACGGTGATTTCATTCACCGCGACTCCAGAAATGATTAAAAAACTACAAAATGACGTATCCGCGCTCCCGCTGATATGCTGACATGCGTACACAGAGCAGAGCTGTCCCCCCGCGACTCTCTCCCCGCCTCGTCTCCTACAGTCTGTCAGCCTCTGTGCAGCACCTTCGGAGCAAGCAGGGGCGCCTACAGCAGCGGGGGGGCGCCAATTTGACAACAAGAGTTAATACAAAACCGCTTTGCGGTTAAGATTTATTATTATTATCTTTTATTTTATTTTTTTGGAAGTGCTCGTGCCGCCCCCCATGAGTCATGACACAAATGCCGCCCCGGGCGGCTGCCCTGTTCGCCCGTGCCTAGAACCGCTACTGACCAGATCCATAGTCAAACTTACAACCTTGAAGATCCCCACAAAGAAAATATTGGTATTTCCAACTAGAATGGATGGTCATATAACTAGTAGCACACGTCAATTTAATTTTAATGGAATAAATAGCAAATACATGTACCATATGATTACATAATATCTTGATTTAGTTACAGCTGTTTCATCTCAAAGATCTTACAAAGTTTTTAAAATGAAAGTCTTTCAATTTCTGTTTTCATTATTTTCAAATACAGTTGTTGATTTTCTGAAAACAGGAGTTAGTCTTTAAAAGTATTTTTCCAGGAATTACTCTTGAACAAAAGAGGGATTGATTTATAATCCAGGTCACCCTATTTTTGGTACAAACAGATTGTGGTTAAACATTTAAATTACATGTAGTTATTTACACCTGTTGTTCGCTTTCAGCCTCCTTGGACTCAGATTTTGGAACACTATAATTGGATCTCAAATCTACACTTGAGAGTTTACATAAGGGGATTGAATGAGGGTGTCAAGTCTGGATAAGCCTCTTTCCATATTTGGAGAGGCCCAGAGACTCTAAACTGCCTCTCTGTATTGACTCTTTTACGTCTGGCTTTGAGTGTGTCTGCCTTTCACCAAAAAAAATACGAAATACTAAATAAACTCCAGTCCACTAAAACCCTGAAAGGGAATCAGCGAAGAGGAAAACACATTAAAGACCTCAAGGACCTCCCTTTTGGGGCTAAATATGAGTATTTAGGGGCAGCGGGGATTCTTAAATATAGCCAGCATTATTGCCACTTAACTTTCCGCACATTTCCTTCTGCTTAGCTACTGTAACAAACAGCATGACTGTGGCTGATGCAGCAAAGGATCCCAGAGTTAAAGATGTAATGAATGATGACATTTCTAACCACATTTTATTCACGTCTTCACTTAAGGCATGCCTGTATGAATACACTGTTGGAGGATTCTGCATAGAAGGCGAGCAGGATCTGCTGCGACGAGTCAAACAGCTTTCCCTGAGGAAAAGATATTGCTAGACAGGATGGAGAGACAATGCTTGGTGAGGCATGCAGATAGTGCACAGCCATGTTAGCAGAGATTGAAATTAAAGCACATGCTGCAGCATATCAGTCTATACTTGCTCATGTCAGAGAAATTCTCCACAGGGCACTCTAATATTGTCTGTATAAAAAAAATGAACAGGGCTTCTACCTTGGTTGAACTCTAGCTGTCTGATATAACCCAAAGCAGTACTCGGCTATGTCTTTGATGTGAGGATGCGTCTCATGTTGAATGTACTGGAAAACAGAATATCATACATTTTCATTTCCCTGGTTCCTCCACATCTTTTCAGAAACCACAGGCACAAAACCAGGCTACAATAAGATTGAAAGGATAAACTGAGAGAGCTCATGCCTAATCCTTTGTGATCACTGAAGTTAGCTGCAATAATAATGAAAAATGTGGACTATGTTAATGAAGCACTTTTATTATAGTTTTCTTATCACTTAAAGTGCGTCTATTTTACAAGTCACATTTATCCATACCACATCCCAGTCATATACTGTCAGAGGCTGCTATGCCCATCAGTTTACACAATGCCATTCACACACCACTGGGCACTGCCAGCAGAGGCAGTTTGAGGTTAAGTGTCTCGCCCAAGGCCACTGTGGCATGTGGACAGCAGGACCTGGGATCACACCCCTGACCTCCCAACTGAGAGATGACTGACTCTCCCACTGAGCCAAAGCCGCCCTCTTTTTTTTGGGAGGGGGTGTAACAATACACAGCAAGACAGTAAGAATCAGCACATATACAAAATTACTGAGATGGAAAGTAAATATGGACACCCTCTTTAAACAAAAAGAGGGCACCGTCTGTCTTTTACTGCTCTTGTTTAATAATAATAATAATAATGCATCAGATTTCATATAGCGCTTTATCAGAGACCCTCAAAGCGCTTTACATTGGATACATCATTCATTCGCTCACACAGTCACACTTTGGTGGTGGTGGAAACGTGGCTGCCATTCTGCGCCTACGGTCTCTCCGACCACCACCACACAACACTCACAATCATACACCAGTGGAGGACACACACTGGGAGCAAGGTGGGTTAAGTGTCTTGCCCAAGGACACAACGGACAGACTTGGATTAGGGGGGAATCGAACCGCCAACCTTCCGGTCATTGGACGACCGTGTTTGATTGTAGTTGCACCATTAGTGTTCTTTAACACATGATGATGTCTTGGTCATAGTATAATTGCGGACAGTTTTAGCAAATGCTTTTTTAGATCTCTCTCTTTTTCTCTACTCCTACCAAGGGGATGAATTACAACAGCAGAACAGCTGATCCCTAGTCCTGTGGTGCTGACACATTGTTCATTTCCAAATGCTGGTTGTTCTTTTGGCTGTTCTCATTTTCTCTAAATTAGAAAATGCAGTAACCTTGGTGCGTGAGGGGGTAGCTTAAACTGAAATAATTAAACACTTAGAAAAACTGTGTATAAATCACATCATGAACCTAGCCTCCTAAATGGTACACAGTAAAGCCTAAATCATAAATCGTAGAATGCAGATTACAGACCCTGATTGATATCATGAATCAGCTCCCTTTTCTGGGCCATGCTACTATCTATTTTCCACAAATATGATCAATATTGTTGTACGGCCCAAAAAGCAATCAAGTATCAAGGAAAGCACTGGTACTGATCTCAAGCCCAGCATTGTTTCCATTAAAGTGTTAAAGAAACCCAGATTTTATTCTGGAACTTTTGTTCCAGAATAAGTGTTTTAACAAGTTCTTCTCACACTTGTTCTTATTAAATGCTCAACGGAAGTAGTGATTGTTGACATTCACTTAGCTTTAAATTATGCTACACTCTCTGTTGGAACTGCGTTGTTGCTGTTGGGTATTTTCACATTAAGATTTAATTGTCTAAACTTTGTTAAATTTTGTAACTCTCAAGTAGCAGTTGCTAAATCCGGGATTTACAACTAAATGTAATGGCATTGGGTTGATATACTGATGAGCATAAACCATCAGGACCAGCACAATAAGGGGCCTTTTTGGCCTACTGGTGTTAGTATCAGATCAACTCCACTATAGCTGTCCTCTCTCATCTTTAAAGTCCACTGTTATTTTCCAATTTTTGATTATTGTGAAAATCAGCAGATACTATAAATCAGCAGTTAATGATTTGAAATATAGAAAAACATTCCAGTCAGACACGTCTTTGAAGCCAAATTGCCTCGAAATTAACCAAACACTGCATCCAAACTAAACAGGTGTGTGGGAACCATTGTGCTATGGTTGGCATTAGTCTGTGTTAAATTAAATTAGCATAATCTAAATACAAAGCCAATGCTTTGAAGCAGTTTCATATCCACTTGGTATGAAAGCCAATTTTTTGGTCCCACATGTTTTTGTCAGGTCCCTCTGAGTAGTCCACATGCTTTCATTTAACAGTATTGTATCTGGTGTTGTGCAGTCTAAACAAGTAGCAAGTGTCATCTGCTGAACTGGCAGTATCTCATATCGTTTATCTGGCTTTTGATTTATGTACCCACTCCACTGCTGCACCGGCATTCTTATCTTTTATCAAAAGCACATCACAGACTTCCTACCGGCTGCGCATCTGCAGCAGCTCAGATCATTACAAGCTGCTCATCTACATTCCTCTTCTGATATCATGGGCTATATGTAGCTGTTCTGTTTTTCATTTCACAGGATAATTTATCTTACTTTAAATCCAAAATGCCATTCCTTTGGCTTCCCACTATTCGGTCAGGGAGGTGTCAAAATATTTCTTCTGTTGCTTTAAATCTGACCAAAACAAAGGAGAGTGTTCTAATAGAATTAATGAGTGTTAGTGAATTCCTCTGGGATCACATTATGTGTGTGTGTGTGTGTGTGTGTGTGTGTGTGTGTGTGTGTGTGTGTGTGTGTGTGTGTGTGTGTGTGTGTGTGTGTGTGTGGGCCAGACACATTCATTTAAATTTTGTGTTGAGAGAAAGTGAAGATTGATTCAAATGTACCATTAAAAATATGACTATAAAAATTATGATATCCAATAACACTTAGTCACACACAGGCTTTCAAAGACATGATTTATCCCTTTAAGCTATTAGATCACAGTATAATCTCAAATGTTAAGAACTTGGCACTGCGCTAACACAGATTAGCTGGCAAACACAGCATCAGACAGAATGATGTTTTCATACTGGGATTAAAAACCAAAATTCCTATTATTCCCCTTAGCGGAGTAATTTTGTTTCTGAAAAAAAGGCTTCATATGCACCACGGAAAATAGTTGTGTTTGGGATTGCCGCAAGAACTTACAAATGGATGCATAACTAGTTCTCCGTTATTAGTCTCAGGAAATTTGTGAGGAAACTGAAAGAAAAGGAAACCGACGCCTAAGTTGCCTCAAAGAGAAAAAAAAAAAAATTACCAAAGGAAGGCCCATTCAGGCTTTCAATTTATTCAATCAGGATATAATTATAACAGGACTAGCGTTATCCTCTATACAGGGCAATGGAGGAAAAAACTGTATCTGCTATTTCCCCCAGCCTATAGGAATGCTTTTCTGAAAGGCAGCAACGTATGGAGGCAGGTTATCCCTCTTGCAATACTGTTGAGTCAACAACTGTCTCTGGCCGCAAACTAGACTTTGAAATACTATCACTGACTTGGGGAAAACACCAAAGCGCAGCATCCCAGTGAAGTGAGGAGAGTATTGAAGTTGCTGCCTATACTACATCTGTGTGGGCTCTCCTCCTTCCTCAGTAGGCAACTGCACACTCCACCTCCTTGTCAATCATCTTGATGAGGTATCTACCTTGAGATTGTTAGCCGCCTGAGGCTGAGCTAACCATGCTATAGGCATATGTAGGCATACTCTCTGCACAGAGGATATGCAAGCCAAGCATAAAGAAATGCTGAGGCTCACTAACAGCAGTTAATGGTCCAGATTTTCAGCACATTAAGCCTTAAAGTTCTTTTGTGACTTACATCTCTTTTTAATTGTTGATTGCTTAAACGTGTCTGCATTTTATAGCAAAGAAGACATAATAATACATCCCAAAAGTAATGAAAGGAAACACTTTCATCCATCTGTTCTTCCATCGGTCCATCCATCCATTCATTATCTGTACTGCTTATCCTGTCCAGGTGTGCGGGGGGGCTAAATCCAATCTCAGCTGTTATTGGGCAAGAGGCACCTTCTCTCCTGCCCATCACAGGGTTGACACAAAGAGACAAACAACCTTTCACAGACACACACACACACACACACACACACACACACACACACACACACACACACACACACGCAGGCAATTTAGAGTCATGGATTAACCTATGTCTTTGAATTGAGAAAAGAGTGCCCAGAGGGAATCCACAAATGCACAGAAAGAACATGCAAACTCTGCAGAGAAAGGCTCCTGGTGTTAATTGAGCCAGGGACTTCCTTGCTACAGGGCAAGACCATTAAAGCCCCTTAAGCAGTTCAGTATAAGTTCTTTTTTTTTATTTTGAATTGGTAATGGTCCTAAAAATTAACTAGTTCACACTTCTTGCTTAGCGTTGCTATAAGTGTCCTATGCTTCACTCCTTAGCCCTCAATCATAGACATTTCCAAAACCACATAAACAATCAAATAGTTTAAAGAATCACAGACTCAGTTTAGAAGCTAAAATATTCATATTTGAGTGTGTTTTACATATTAAACATAGGGAAAAATTGCAGCTTTGAAATGTGTTGATACAGTTTGTAAAATTTGATGTGGGTGTTTTACATCCTCAGAAATCAGTGGGTAGGTATGAAGACACACAAATGAATAAATTCAAAAAACTACACCTCTCCAAAACTTCAAGATTTCAGCCTGTGGGAATCTGTCCAGATTTGCCAGCAACCCACTTTTAAGTGTTCACAAGTGCTGCATTTTTAGTATTTTGCAACATCTGACTTCTTACATAAAATGAAAAGTACAACAATTCCTCCATAGGATCACCATTTAATTTAGTGATTAAGCAGCAAAAAAGTTTAAGTATAATGAGTTTAAATTTGGTTTAAGTAGTTCAAAAAATTTCTGAGTAGTTAAGAAAAATGAAAATAAACTTGCAACCCTCCCCATCTCCCCTATTTCATTCTGGGGTTCGGTCAATTATGTTAAAATTTAGGTTCAACTTGTATTTACTTAAAAAAACACATAAAAGCAATATCATTACACTGCTGCATAGATAAATCACACCATAATATTACTGTGAGTTGATTCATGGTTTAATAAAGCTATGCCTGTAAAGATAATGAGTAAATTTTATGTATTTCGGATATTTATTTACTTCAACAACAAGCTCTGCATTAAAATGAAAACTATAAACATTTGGTATATGAGGTCATGATCAAATGCAGTGTTTTTTAGTGGTTTAGTGGTTACTTAGCATCCATGCCTAATGCATACTGGGGCTGTAAATCCAACTCTGACTGTTGTAAAACACCGCTTTTGCTTTCAATAATTAATTACTGTTTTTATGGAGCCTTTGGCCAATCACAATCAAGTACTTTACACACAGCTGGGTATTAACAATGATGTCATGATGTCTAACTTTGTTACTCGGTTATTAAACTGTCTGCATTTTTAAAGCAGCAACAAACCCTGAATTTGGCTTCATTATAGAGGTTTATTAGCCGAGAAGTAATTCAAAATTTCCACTGCTAATGCGTCGCTTTGGCCTTTATTTGCATCAATGACCACTTGAATTTGAAAGCATGGCACAACCAAGATATAAGCTGGCCCTCACTCTAATAATTGTGTGCTCTAAAGATAATAATTGTGGAGATTAGGAACAGCAGATTTAAAGCTACTCTTTAATTAGGGATGTTTGATTTGTTATAATTTAATTTTCTTTATCACAAGCTCTGATACCCGGGGAGGTGTTATCCATTATGACTGGTCAATGTAGAGTGATAAAATGTTCTTAAGTAAGCTGTAATAACAGAGGGAAAAATTACCATTCCCGCAACACCTTGGTTTGAGTTGTAAGGCTGAAATCCATAAATGTGAAAGATTCTGCTATTTCTTAGACCATGCAGTATGTTTGCAAAGCAGAGAGTTCACAATATATACTTATCAATGTCATTTAACGTGTTTCAACAACTAAGAACAAGCAGGGGATTGAGACAAAGAGCATTGATTATTACATATTATGATATAATCTCAATATACTGTTTATCTAAGCTGTATGTTCAGCTTCTAAGCATTTCCTCCGCAGAGGCCTTGAAGAGACAAGATTACTCAGAGAGATGGTACTTAACGTGTTAAATGATGAATCTGTTAAGTTGCCATGAGCCTTTTTCCACGACTTTATCAGACATCACAATACACATTCATTACTTCATCTGATAATAGTTCAGCTGCTGTATTGTGCTAGCTTGATTGATGAATGCTGTAGTATTTGTGAAAAGACATCAGTCAAACCAGACAGTGTATCTTGTAAAGTTTTTTGTGGCTGACGCCCTGTCACAGCCTGGATATCTCTATTAAAATCAAACCGCACAACAGATGAGTTCAGTGGATCATTTCACAAGAATTTCTTATGAAGTTTAATCCATACTGCTGAACAGAAAAAAGATATTGATAACAAAAAACTAAATTAAGTCCATATTTCTTTACATCCTGGTTTATTTTTATTTTTTTAATTTAAATATGTATGACTGAAGATAAAAAAAAAACCTACAATAAAAGCTTCCATCTAGTAGGGGTGGGAGAAAAAATTGATACACCATGGTATCGCGATATTTTGACTGGTGATATATCGTATCATCTCATCAACCAAATACTGACAACATATTGCTAATATGTAGTCTATGATGATGAAAAAATAAAATCAACTGTTTGTCCAGTGAGGTTGGAAGAGGTGACATCACAGAGCAAAAAAAAGTTAGTGCAGCTCTGTTTATTTTAACAGCTTCAGGAGACTTTGGGTCATACTGTCTCTGTTTTTCAAATAGCAGTGGAAGAGTAGGCTCTGGTTTCTTTGGTTTAGTTGCAGGTCGACTTCTCTCTGCTTCAGTCTGCCTCTTTAAGAGAAGAAAACACGTTTGGGTTATGTTTGCGTTCAGCTAAAGGCTGCTAGCCGTGGCTTATAGGTCATTAACAAACAACATTCACAAAACATAAGGCTAACCCTGGACTACAGTGGAGCGCTAGCCACAGCTTATCACAAAACAACGAACATTGACTGAACATAAAGCTAGCGGTGGGGATTAATACTGGCCACCGGCAAGACTAACATCATTAATCAGTTTAATACAGTAAGGTAGAGGATGAACGGGAGCTTTAGCCTACTAACCTGCCGGAATGCATCACGGCTGCCCCACCTGCCCGGACGCTGTCTGCTTCAGGACGCTGTCTGCCAGGTCGGCTGCGCTGCTTGCAGAGTGCGCGCCGCAGGTGCTGCACTGTAATTAATTATTTAAAGCCTTTGTAAAGTAACACTGATTATGACCAGAGAGATGAAAACGACAATTTTATGAATCAGACTTATCCCTTAAAGACAGGCACAAACTTCAACTTAGCCTTGTCCTAGCTCGACCAGATTTTTTTGTGAAAGCAGCAGGAAAAAAGGTGAAAACATTGGCTGATTACACTTATTTAAACTTAAACAGACTTGAATAATAACCATCAGTGCCCTTTATCAAGACATGCAAGGTGTGCGTAACCACTGACACATCTGTTCAATGAAAGATAGTGTTGTGTAAACTAAAGGCAGCTCATAGAGTATGTTAAGCCAGCTGTAATGTATAATGCAGATCAAGAGTGAATGAAAGACATGTGGACAAGTGTAATAAGACATGAGAAGTGAAAACCCAAGGCACCTAATATCACGCAACAATCTGTCATATTATTAAGATACCAAGATGTGAGTTACAGCTGTATTACAGAATAATATGCAAATAACCAACATGTTCGGAAGTACAATTTCTCCTCCAGTCTTTGCTATGGCAATGGAGCTTATCATAGGCCATCAACATGTCTGGAGAAGCCACAAGGGGGTTGTGCATCATCGCGAAACTGCCATATTCAGACTTTATGAAGGCTTTGATTAACCAAAATGTATAAAATATTATTATGTAGAGGAACTGTGGTCCTGGCTGTCAGATTTTTAACCAACTGAATAAAAAATTCAGCAGAAACCACAGCCATTGAAGAGAGACTTCAGTAATGTCATGGACCATAAATTCACACCAAATATATGGATTAAGATATACATATTAATGGTGGAAGCATGGATTTGTGAGTTTTATTCTGGCTCTGACCTAAATTATACTTTCCAGATGCTTTCTTCTTAATGTGAAGGGGGGAAAGATGAGGACCTATATTGGCACCCCATTTTATTTACATACTGGTCTACTCTATCAATATCTCTATTCGTCTCTTATGGTCTTGGAACAACTCTATCTTTTTACTTCTTTATAACAGATAAATAAAATATAACCTTTATCTTAGACAATCGCATGTTTCAACCATGAATTAGATGCATAATATTAAAGCTTATGGTTATGCTTCTATCAGCATATATGGAGAGAGAGTATGATAAGAAAAGACTTGGTCCCGACAGAAATGAACTTTTACATCTAAGTTGACAGAAGTTCTTAATGAACAAGTTGAGGTTGACAGGGTTACAAATGATAATTATAAAAAATCACTGCAATAAAAAACACTACAGTGATATAATTAAATCTTAATTTGGGAACTTAACCCGTCTAGACCAAAAGGGCAGCAGCTTTAGCTACTTTAAGCTCTAAACTCTGCATATCCCTGGTTAAAGGCACTGCAGACGCAAAGAGGGGTTAGGCCTCCCAGGCGAGTCAGAGCAGCAGTACCTGCGATTTGCTCTGCTGCCTTGATTAATTCAGAGTTTGATAGTATGAGCCATCCACTGCATAGCAAAATGTTTAACTGTAAGAAATGGCTCACAGTCTCACATTTATTCTCTTTTAGCATCTTTGTGTAGGAGAGATTGTGGCCCACAAGCTGTGTCCCAATTTCATACTTTATGCTAATTTGAACAGGGTGTTCACACTCCTCGGGATACTGAAAACATGTCAGTTTACATATTTAATGTGTGGGAATTTTCGATGAAAAATGATATCTGAAAATCTAGTGCATAAAGAATGAGCTTGAAAACCTTTGCAAAAACAGTGTTCAGAACATGGGCTCTTTTTTCTTTGTTCTAGTACTTTGATTTTTCTTGTATGCTAACTCGTAAACATTGGCGGTACAATGATAACACCTGGCCAGTTTGTCTTAAGGCTGGTATCATATGATCAAACAAACATTGGTAGAGCATAAAAGATGCATCAGGATTTTTGAAGTAGGCTGACATGATACTTTTTTTTTTTTTTTCGCAACAAAA